GGGGTTGTTAACCAATGTCATAAAACAGCATGTGTGTTACTGTTACATGAGAAACTATCTGTTCTGTAAGCCTTCACCTGAAGTACAATAAAATATTAAAAAAAAAAAACAGAAACAAAAAACTCAAACTCTCCACTTATTCCATGCTTTCCTGAACATGTTGTTAGTTGCCGTCAGATCATCTGCGAATCGTGGTGACCCCCATGTACAACAGAACGAAACTTTGCCTGGTCCTTCGCCATCTTCATGATGGTTGGCATGCTCAAGTCCATTGTTGCAACTGCTGTGTATTTTGAGTGCTTTTCTACCTAGAGGGCTCATCTTCTAGCACTGTATCGGACAGTATTCTGTTGTGATCCATAGGGTTTTCATTAGCTAATTTTCAGAAGTAGATCGCTAGGCCTTTCTTCCTAGTCTGTCTTAATCTGGCAGCTCCACTGAAACCTGTTCACCATGGGTGACCGTTTTGGTATTTGAAATACCAGTGTCACAGCTTCCAGAATCACAGCAACATGCAAGCCACCACAGTACAACAAATTGACACATAGGTGGTGGTTGCTGAACATAGCTGGAGGAAAATACAACCAGGATGATTTATCTCATTGAAAATATATTACCACATGAGTCCAGTACAACTAGATGGTGCCCAGCTACCACCACTGACTGACCGCGATCACAACAGAGGGTCCCGGACAGAGCTAGACAAAAATGTAGGACAAAATTCTAACTCACAAAAAAAGACCGGACATACTGGCCTGACAGAGACTGGAGAAACCCTTAGAGTATGACCCCCGGACACCCTTTTAGCTCAGTAATGAAGTCACTCCTGAGGTTCACTGTTCAGCCAAAGATTAGACAGCCCCATAAAAGAAAACGAGACTAATGGGGCACAACAGTCCAGGGACAAGGACTATAAGGCAGGAGGAGACAGGAAAGCTGGTAATAGGGAACCCAGTGTTGAGAAGGGACAGTGTTGACATGTTGTGGGGTTGTTAACCATTGTCATAAGACAATGTGTACTAGCTGTTTAACGAGAACCTATTTGTTCTGTAAACCTTTATCGAAAGTACAATAAAAAGTAGATACAAGAGACTAAATGGGCAGCTTCTAACTGGAGGTGAGATGGGAAGGCAGAGAGGGTTAGGAACTGGTTGAATGGACATGGGGAATCAGGTGGAAAGGAGGAGTGTGCTGTCACAGTATGGGGAGAGCAACTGGGGTCACATAACAGTGTATGTATAAATTTTTGAATGGGAGACTAACTTAAAATGTAAACTTCATTTAAACTACAACGATAAGTAAATAAAGTACAATTTTAAAAAAATATATTACCACAAATTCAGTGGGACCTGCTGTACTGTCTAAGCAGTTGTTTCTCCCAATCTGATGTGATTATTTCACACCTCTCTTCTCAAACTTCCCTTTTCCCCTCCTCCCAACTTACTCACAGGTGATAGTCACGCTTCTCATTGAGAAGCAGAAGTAATCAGAAGGAAACTTCTTCATTTTCTGCCAACCTAACTGCATCTATATCTGTATGCTTTGCCTTCTCTACTGTCACAATGATAAAATATTCCTGCTACTGCTATATCAGGCCAAACCCTTAACAGATTCCACTCACTCTACCTGTTCAAAGACTGCTCCTATAATTTTCTCCTTTATCTCCAGTATGTCAGGTTTTCCTTTTTAACTAAATTGATTTGCAGACATGCTATATCTCACACACACACACAAAAAACCCTCCTTTGATTCCACTTTCCCTTCTGTCACTCATTTATCTTTTCCTCTTTGTTGTAAATCTTGAGTTATTTAATACTGTCCATCTCTTCCTTCCTCAACCTTTTTTTTTTTAACTTTTTATCTTGAAATAATTTCGAACTTACAAAGTTACAAACATAGTACAGAATTCCTATATAGCCTTCAGCCAATTTCCCTAAATACTAACATCTTACCTAACCATAGTACAAGGAGCCCTGGTGGGACAATGGTTAAGCACTCAGCTTCTAACTGAAAGGTGTATGGTTCCAATCCACCAGTGGCTCCATGGGAGAAAAGACCTGGCAGTCTGCTCCCATACAGATTACAGTCTACAAAACCCTACGAGGCAGTTCTACTCTGTCATCTAGTGTTGCTATTAGTCAAAATTGACTCGACAGCACACAACAACAACAGCAACCATAGTACTATTATCAAAACTAGGAGATTAACTTTGATACAGTACTATTAACACCCTGTTCAAATTTCACCAGTTGTCCCACTGATGATCTTGTTTCTGGTCAGTGATCCAATCCAGGATGCCACATTACATTTAGTTATGGTCTTCTTAGTCTCATTCAGTTTGGGACAATCCCTCAGTCTTTTTTGTCTTTCATAACCTTGGCACTTTTGAAGAGTATTGGCCAGCTATTTTGTAGACTGTCCCTGAGTTTTGGTTTGTCTGATGCTTTCTCATGATTAAATTTTTGGCAAGAATACCATATACGTGACCTTGTGCCCTTCTCAGTGCATCCTATCAGGAGGTACGTGGTATTGATGTTCATTTTGACAGCTTAGTTGAGGTGGTGTCCCTTATTCTTTCTTAACCAACTTCAATCAGATTTCTTCCTCACTGTTCAACTGAAACCTCTTGTCAGTGTCACCAGTGACCTCCATATTGCCAGATTCAGTGGTCCATTCTCAATCCTCATCTGACTTGACATTTAGTGGAAGAATTTTCTTCACTCAACATCTGGAATGACATTTTTTTTTTTTTTTTTCAATTTTATTTTCTTGCTATCTGACAAGCTGTTCTGTTTCAGTTCTCTCTTGGACCTTCTTCCTGACTGCTAAATGTTGGAGTGTTCTAGGAACCTTCCTCAGACTCCTTCTTCCCTCCTCCTCCCTCTCTCCTTCCTCCTCTAAAGTGATCTTATTCACTACATACTATTAACCGCCATCATCTATTTATTAATAATTTCCATATTTACATATCAACCTTGAACTTTCTCCCCTGAGCTTAAAATTCATCCACTCATCTTACTTGGCATCTCTACTTTGATGTCTAAAAGATTTTGCAAACCTAACATGTCTAGAACATAATTTCTTTTGATTTCCATCCCCAAAACCTTGTCTCCTATCTTCCTCATCCAGTAAATGGTACCACCATTCATCAGTTGTTCAAACAAAAACCTAGGAGTCATCCTCAGCTTCTCTTTTTCTCTCACTCCCACATCCAGTCCATCAGCAAGTGTTGTCCACTGTACCTTCCAAATCTATCAAAAATCCAACCACTTCTTGCTGCCTCCACTGTCCACTTTAGTACAGGCCACACAATACCTTACTTTTTAACTCTCCTCTCCACTTCCACTCTTGCCTTTCTATTTTCCATACAACAGCTAAAACATAAATCAGATCACATCGTGCTGTTTCTTAAAACCCTCTAATGCCTGCCTCTCCATTGCTCTTACAATAAAATCCAAAGTCCTTACCATGGTTTACAGTGCCCTTAAACAGTGCCCTTAAATGACCTGTGTCCTGGCTACCCAATTTCATCCTCCCACCGCGCTACCTCCCCTAGCCCCACACACACTCTGCTCCAGCCATTCAGGCTTTCTTAGAATTTCCTGAATATGCTAAGCTCATTCTTGCCTTAGGACCTTTCTACTGTTTCCTCTGCCTGGAACATTCTTCCTCTACATTTCCCTTGGCTAACTCTCTCATCTCATTCAGGCCTTTGCTCAAATGTCACTTCCTTAGAGAGGCCTTCTCTGACTATCTAAAATAGCACAGTACATCACTCTCTAGTCCTTTACTTAATTTTTTCCCCATCACTTATCACTTGCCATTGTGCTATTTTTTGTGTGTATTGTCTGCCTTTCCCTATTAGCAGTTCCAGGAGGGGAGAGACTCAGTCTGTCTTGTTCACCATTGTATCCTTAATGCCTAGACTGATAGCTAGCATATAGTAGGTGCTGAACAAATATTTGTTGAAAGAATGGCTAAATAAAATATAGTTCTTCCATTCTGTGGAAATTATGCAACAGCTAAAAAAATGAGGTAGCTCTTCATGTATTAAGAAAATATCTCATTATTTTAAATTAAAAAAATCTAGTTTCAGAACAGTCCTTTTTACAGTGAGCATGTAATGATATTGTAATCTTCAAAAACAATTCTCTTAAGTCCCTTCCTTGTTTTAATGATAGATCTTTGAAAAAGTGGTGATGACCATTTAGACATTTAGAGAATAGGCAAAATAGACCGCTATTCTGTTACTTACCTCTCCTAGATTGTGTTTGTGTAAGAGAAGTAGAGATCATCCTGGTGACCTTCTCTCCTGATTTTAGATCCAACCTCATGGGGACCAAGTTTACAGTTTATGACCATGGAGTCAGCCCAACCAAGGCCCAGGGCCTGGTAGAGAAGGCCCACACCCGGCAGGAGCTGGCAGCCATCTGTTATGTAAGTGCCATCCTCATCGCTTACTCTTTTCCTTTGTCTCCTGGACATCATACTGGTACTTCAAGCTTAATGTAACCAAAGCTGAGCTCATAATCTTCCCTCCCAAGCCTATTTCTATTTCTATGATCCCTCTTTTCTGTTGCTGGTATCATTTCTCCATATATTTGTTTTAATTATTTATAGCTCATGAACTGCCAGGTTCAGTTATTTTTTAATTTTGTTATATTACTTCCTTTAGTTTATCCCCTCTTCTCTTTTCCTGATGTCACTGTATTAAGTCAGTCCTTCATTACCTCTTACCCATTGGCCAGAGGTTACAATAAATTAGAAACTGGTCTCTTTGCTTTTAGTCTTTTCCTGTCTAGTCTGTTCTATACTGTTGTCAGATAAATCTTCCTAAAACATAGCTACAGTGGATCCTGGTGTTCTTCTGCTTCAAATTTTTTAATTGGTACCCACCGCCTACAGAATAAAGTTCTAAATGCGGTAGCCTTTCCTTTCAGACTCCCCCTCCCATTCCTGTCATTCTAGCCACACTAGCCCTCCTGTAGTTCCTTTGCTCCAGCCACACTAATCTGTCCTCACCTGAGAGCCTTCCTTTTTCCCCTTCCTTCCCTTTGTTTAATCAATTCCTACTGATTCCATCAAAGAATCACATCCCGACCACTAGATGTGGTTGACATTCCTTTGCATATGTCACCATGGCACTCTGTGCTTCCTCTGGTAACCCGCATAGTGTTACTACATGTTGAAGGTGGACCATCTCTACCAGAAACTGTGAACTCTTATTCTCTGCTGTATCCACACTAGCACAGGGACTGGTGCACAGTAGGCATTCAAATAGTTGTTGAGTGAAAGAAGGCAAGAAGGAATTAACCCAACTTAGTTGTTGCTTTCATCCCAAAGTTTCAACTTAACCCTAAATTGAAATTATTCTCATCATTTGATTCCCATGAGATTTTATATAAGTGTCTGAGAACAGTTTGACTTAACAGCTTATAACATATAGTATTTGTCCTCTCTAGCCTCAGAATTACTTAAGTCTTATAACCTATGCATTATGTATATATTTTTCCACATACCCACACACATACATACTATATGCACACACATTTAGAGAGAGAGAGAGAGCAAACCTATTTAATGAGTATCTATTTAATGTGCTTATTTATATTTACATAATCTGCCTGGCTTAACAGGCATTTGAGTTTTTTACCTCCTAGTACAGGCCCTATTTAATTTAAACTAATTTTCACTGTGTATCATATAATGTCATACCTACATTGGGAAATAAATATTTGTTGGTGATGACAAAGTTGGACAGTTTGCTCATTATGCAGTTATCTCAAATTTCACTTAAGGCTAAAGAGTAAGAGTAAAGTTTCAAGCCAGTAGAATATGTTTTAAATTCAGGTGTTCAGATTAGGTTTAAAAGCAGATATAGTATCACTTTTCTGTTTTTGATTCTCTCTCTTTCTCTTTATTTAACTACAGTAATATAATATAGTAGTTATTGGTGCTCTTGACATTGTCAACATTTTACATGTCCAAGAAAGTCTCATGTTAAGAAGGTGGTCTCTTTTTACTTTCTGTTTCCAAGTTCTGCATAATTTTCTTATTTTCTAGGAAACAAATGTACTTGGCTTTAAGGGGCCTAGGAAAATGTCTGTGATTATTCCAGGGATGAATATGAATCATGAACGGATACCATTTCGGCCACGAAATGTAAGTAAGAACATATTTGATCAGCAAATGGACTTTAAAAGACAAGAATACAATACAGAAGAGATCAATTAGGAAAAAAAAAAACAAATATATATATATATATGTTGCTTCTTCTTGAATCCCAAGCTCAAATATGGTTCATAATCTTCTTTAGGAGAGCCATTACTCTAGAACCTCAGGATAAGTGTCATTTCAGAGTAGTTGCTAAAAAGTTGCTCATTCAAAATCACTTAGTCTGCAAAGAGAAATGCTGAATATTGGATAAGAATAAAAAAATCTGGTTTAATTTGTGGCTTTCTTTGCTTTTGCTTTAATTTACCCTTTCTGAAGTGAAGAAAAGATTCCCCTACTCTACCTTCCGCCTCACAGTTGAGACTGAATGAGTTCTTATGTTTCTCAGTTCAAAGTAATGATTTTCCCTCTGAGCAGGACCATGAGAGCTTAATTTCCAAATGGCAAAATAAGACAATGGAGAACTTGATTGAACTGCACAACAAGGCCCCAGTCTGGAATGACGACACCCAGTCCTATGTCCTGAACTTCCATGGCCGGGTCACTCAGGCATCCGTGAAGAACTTTCAGATTGTCCATGAAAATGACCGTAAGCCACAGAAAGGGCTGGATGGGAATAGGAGAAAGATGTTTTTACATGATGGGGAAATGAACATTTTCTGTAATTCATATGGGAGATTATATTCAGGAGAGAATTATTTAAGACAGATTATTTCTTTGGAAAGGCAAAACTACAGTTTTAGAAGAAAACTTCTAAACCACTGTGTTGAGGGAGGGGAGTAGGAGAGATTTACTATGGCAAATCAGAGAAGTCTTAGGTAAGGCTGTTCAGGGAAGCAAACACAAACAACCCTCAATGAAGGTTCCTTGGTAACTCTAGCCCACAGAGCTTGTACTGTTCCCAGTAAGCTACTCTTGACTTTTTTTCTCCTCTTGCCTGTACATGCTAGTCAGGAATAGCCTCCCTTTTCTCTGTAGTTGAGAGGAATAGTAATAGAAACTTGGCTCTTGATTAGCAGGCACTCCTGGTAATACCTCTTTCCATCCTTCTAAAAGTTTCTTATTTTAACTTTCAAGAGACCTGGAGGATTTTTCTGTATCTTAAATAGGCTTCTCCCCACTACAAGCACATTATCTTCTAATGTCCTGATTTCTTTCCGTTTACAGCTGACTATATAGTCATGCAGTTTGGACGTGTAGCAGACGACGTGTTCACACTGGACTACAACTACCCGCTGTGTGCACTGCAGGCCTTCGCCATCGGGCTTTCTAGCTTTGACAGTAAGCTAGCATGTGAATGAGAGAAAAAGCAGGCACAGAGCTGGACTTTCTCACTACAGAGCTTTCAGAAGCAGATAGTTACCTCCCTTGCCCCAAGATATGAAGAGCAACAGTCTGTCCCTTTCGAATGTGTGTACACACACCCACACTCCTTCTCTGGATTTTTTAGACTTGGTCAGGGATCACATTTCAGCATGGGTGAGAGATTGTTCACAGCACAGAGAAGGTTCATCCAGAGCACAGTGGTGACTCCTGAGGTTATTGCCCACAGATGCTATGCCTTAAGAGTCAGACTTCCCTGTGTTTTCTAGAGAGGGACAATTCCCTAAATTGCCTTTATTCTCCAGGGCAAGGGTTGGCAAACTTTCCTGCAAAGGGCCGGATAGTAAATATTTTAGGCTTTGCAGGCCATATTGTCTCTCAAAACCGCTTAACTTTGCCTTTGTAGTGTAAAAGCAGCCATAGGCAGTTCATAAACGACTGAGTGTGGCTGTGGTCCAGTAAAATTTTATTTACAAAAACAGGCAGCAGGCCAGATTTGGCCTGTGGGCTGTAGTTTGCCAACACCCGCTTCAGGTATATCCATATCATCTACGGGCTTGGACATCTTCCAAAATGTCCCGTGGTGCTTGTGGTTGTGAGATCATATGAGTGAAAAATGGATCTATCTAGGAAACAGCAGTCCTACGGAGTGGATCTGAAGAGGTTCTTGTGCTACATCCACTGTTATGTAGCCTTTACCTTGTGTTGGTGGCAATGGTTTCTAAAGTATCATCTACCATTAGGACTGGGAAAACCCAAAGTCAGTGATCATTTGAGTCCACACACATGACTTAGCACTGCCGTTCACCCAACTTTCCCATGGGAGAAGGCAACGTCAGCCACTTTACCCACCCTAAAAGAAGAACTTATGCTCGCTCAGAAACAAATCCAGAATTGTATTTTCTTTATCACAGAAAGTGTGGTATTTGTTTCCCAGACCCAGCTTGTTTTCCCCCTGGGGCTGCTGGGAAGGTACTGATGTCACAGTCCCTTTCTTCCCTTTCTTCCCTCAGAGCAGGTTGGCTGGCACCAATCTCAGTCAAAGTGGCTATGGCCAAATTTGTGAGAATTTTATATAATTGTCTTAATTTCAGTTTAGGCTTTTAAGGCATAAACTCTAGAGGTGACTTCTTAGTCCAGTAAAAACTGAGAGTAATATGACAGTTGCCTTCATTTTCAACCCAGGAGTGCCTCCCACAGCTATAGTACTATGGAGCCGTTAGGATAGGTGGACACAGACACCTGTAGACAGCGTAAGACACAAGAGAACATTATATGTAGAAATTTGTCATTGTCTTTATCAAAAGCAGAGAGGTGGCAGGAGAGGCTTTGGTGAGGAGCAGCTAGCTAACTCTTGAGCTTATTGGGCAGAGCTTTGGGCCCTTCTTCTTGACATAAACTTTACCAGCTCTCTGAAGTTCATTGATGCAAACTTTACTCCTGCCACTTTTTCTCACAGATCCTAAGATTTTTGCTGAGTCTTTCAGATTATTAGCACCTTCCAACAAATCATCCGACCCTTATACCTGCTCACCAGTCCCAGAGTGCATCTGAATCTTGAGAATCCAAAAACTTTGTCAACTCTACATTCAGCATTGTTCAGGTCCCAAGCCTTTTGCACTGAGCTGTTTGCCAGCATGGGGCAAGGAATCAGTGGCTATCGCTCCATAATATTTCCCTTCTGTGGGCTTCCTTTTCTTCCCTGCTGCCTGCTGCTCCTTGCTCCACGTCAAATAGCCATGTGAAGGAGAGGGAACTGGAAGATGTAAAGACCCTGTCTGCTTTGTTTTGGCATGATTGGTTTCCATCTCAGGCATGCTTCCCATCAAGTGCCTCATCTACAGAAGTGCCCTAAGGCCCTTCAGACCTCCCTACCCACCGTCCTGATGTACTGTCTAAAAGCCACCCTTGTTGAAAACAGAAAGCTGTTAACTTATCTCCAGTTGCAGTATATGGCAGCGTCTGGAGAAGGGGAGCCTACAGTGGGGCGACTGGACTTGATCCTGCTTCCTCCTACTCTCTCTGGCTTGGAGAGAGATATACTCCAGCTTCATGTGCTTTCTGCTCGAGTGTGCAGGTGATTGGTTTTACAGAAATTGTATTTATACCTTTTGTATGCTACAGAAATAAACGATAATTTATATAAAAATGTGAGTGTCACTGTTTTTCTTTACAAAGTCCCATGCCTTAGAGTTCCTACTGTCATGTTCTGTAATAATGATTTTCATCACTTGCCAAGCGTGAACTAATCAGTTCTTTGAAGCCAAGTTAAGTATGAGCATGAACTTTCACCCTAGGGTGGAGCAGGAGTCTGCAGACTGAGAAGTCTGAATTCCAGAGACTCTCTCTCTAGACACATCATGCACATGATACCAACGGGTTTTCTGGACAGATGATGGAACAAAGGGCTGAGCATAGAACGGGCCACCGAAGGGTAGGAATTGTATTGTTCTGGATGCTCACGATTGCTTACTGATTCAGCAGCAAAACATTAAATATTTAATGGTGAAATAGATCCCATCTCTTGCCTCTAAGTGTTCACATTTTAAAGCTACCTTATACAGACAAGCTGAAAAAGATTTTGTGTTCACAAATTCTTACTAGGCTCCCTGCTCTTATTAGTGTCATGATGAGAACAGAACATGGAAGGAACCAGGAAGAGCCTAAAAGGCAGGACCAGAGCTGGAGTCAGAGTTTAATTTTAGTTCTTACAGCTTAATTTCTCTCTTTCACCTGAGTCTTTTTGGCTAAGATACATGGTTGGCCAAATGGCTTGTTTGTAACACAGCTTTGTATACTTCTCAGTGACGGGGAATATATCAGTGGTCATTGACATGAAAGATTTCACTAAGTGTTATCTAAAATGGACCTGGAAAAGGCCCTTTTTGATCAGAAGTTTAGTGAACTTCCTCCACAAAGAAAACCTTGAGATGTTGCAATCTGCCTTTTTCCTCAATCCTCCAGCACCTTCTCTAGGTAGAATGGCGCCTGCCCACGTACTTATACTATATGTCCAACATCTGCTTCTCTCCGGTTTGTGGACCTCTCAGACTTCTCAAAATGAACTGCAGCTAGGGGCTTGCCAGGAACTTGCCAGTTTCTGTCCCACCTCCTCGGACACTGAGGTTTCTTAACCACTTGTTTATTGGATCATTTTGCCTCCTCTCCTCACTTTGGTCTCCTCGTTATCATAGTGTATATTCTTTAAGAGCCTCACAGTCATCTTTATCAACCAACACAGACTCTTCTCTCCACAAAAACCTGGAGATACCACAGTAAATGAAGAACTTGCCGTTGGTACTCTGTAAGGTTAGGGAAGCGCTGGTTAAACCACAGATGGTTTCGTGGCACCACCTGCTGACCAAAGGTGTGCATTACACATACATTGAAATAAGTGTATAGCAGATTCTGCAGTCCAGGTGAGGGAGGTACAAAGGGCTCGAGTGACTTCCACACCTGACCACACTATCATATTTTTACCGAGCACCCTTGTGCATGACTCTCTTCTGAAGTTCTGAGAACAGTAATATTCTAGAATTTAGAAACCAAATGAAGTATTCATGTAAAATGCCCGGGATCTGGTAGAGGGTATCAATGTTACCATTTTTATTATCTTTTAAAATGGAACAATGAATTTTGAATAACATTTTTAGCCACATAGTTACACAAAACAGCTTATAATCGCTTTTAAGGCAATTTGTGGTTTTCCAGGGACTATGATGAAGGGAAGGAAAAACAGCAGGTTTTTCCTATACATCTAAGTTCTAGCCTCAGCTCTGATCCTACCTCACTCTCCTTGTTTTGTACCCATTTCTTCATTTTTACTTGAAGTAACAGCCCAGGCAAAACAGCCCTGATACTAAGGGAGAATGAGGAGAACAGGATACAAGGAAAAGATTAGTCCGAAGGACTAATGGACCACACCTACCAAGGCCTCCACCAGACTGAGTCCAGTACAGCTAGATGGTGCCTGGCTACCACCACTGACTGCTCTGACTGGGATCACAACAGAGGGTTCTGGACAGAGCTGGAGAAGGATGTAGAACAAAATTCTAACTCACAAAAAATGATCAGATTTACTGGCCTAAAGGAGACTGGAGAAACTCCAAAAGTATGGCCCCCAGACACCCTTTTCGCTCAGTGGTGAAGTCACTTCTGAGGTTTACCATTCAGCTGGGGATTGGACAGCCCCATAAAACCAAACGGGACTAATGAGGCACAGCAGTCCAGGGACAAGGGCTAGAAGGCAGAAGGGGACAGGAAAGCTGGTGATAGGGAACCCAAGGTTGAGTAAGGACAGTGTTGACATGTTGTGGGGTTGTTAACCATTGCCATAGGGCAACACTTGTACTATCTGTTTAATGAGAAACTATTTTGATCTGTAAACCTTCATCTAAAGTGAGAATAGCAGCACAATTAGAAGACTGTAGTCGATGTCACTGAACTGTGCATGTAGAAATTTTTGAAATGGTGTATCTTTGGCTATGTATATTTTCACCAAAAAAGGTTGAGAAGGGAGAGGGTTGACATGTCGTGGGGTTGTTAACCAATGTCATAAAACAATATGCGTACTACTGTTTAATGAGAAACTATTTGTTCTGTAAACCTTCACCTGAAGTACAGTTTAAAAAATTAATTTAAAAAAGCCCTGGTAATAACAGAAATTTTTGAAACATTTCAAATGTAAGATGAGCTCCCTTCATGATTTTTTTCTTGCTCTGCCTAGCCTTTTGGTCCATAATGCCCATGATCCTTTGCACACCGTCTTGCCAACAACGGCTGTGGCCCAGAAGTATGAGTGTGAAAAAAGAGGGTAAGCTATGTAGAGAGTACAGCTGGAGGGGGCCAAGGTGGAGGTAGGATCTTTCCTGGTCCATCACCACCTCGTATTATACAACTTTGGTTTAATATAGTGACTCTCAAGCCTCAGGGGTTTAACATCTAGCTGAACACTTATCTACCTGGACTCTCTTCCTTCTTAGGATTCTCAATTATTCTGAAAGTAATTATCCAGTGTATGGATAAGCTCTTTCTGCTGTAGTCTGGTGTCATGGTTTGAATTATGTCCCCCGAAAATTGTGTATATCAGTTTGGCTGGGCCATGAATCCTGGTACTGTGTGATTTTCCTAAATGTTGTAAATCCTGCCTCCATGATGTTAATGAGGGAAGATGGGTGGCAGTTGTGTTAGTAAGGCAGGACTGGATCTACAAGACTGGATTGTGTCCTGAGGCAATCTCTTGAGATATAAAAGAAGCAAGCAGAGAATTGGGGACCTCATACCATCAAGAAAGCTGTGCCAGGAGCAGAGCGTGTCCTTTGGACCGGGGTCCCTGCACAGAGAAGCTCCTAGTCTGGGGGAACACTGAAGAGAAGAAGGCTGACAGAAAAAGCTTTCCCCTGGAGCTGACGCCCTGAATTTGGACTTTTAGCCTACTTTAACTGTGAGGAAATAAACTTCTCTTCATTAAAACCATTCACTTGTGATATTTCTGTTATAGCAACACTAGATGACTAAGACATCTGGGATAGGAAAGTTAGGAAGGAAAACAGACTGAGGAGAAAGGAGGGTGTCAGGCAGAGGAGGGCTAGGAATTACATCAAGATTCTTAAAGTTGAGTCTAACTGCAATTCCTAAGATACTCATGCATGCTCAGGACAAACTACATCAGTATAAGGTAGAAATATGACCTTAAAAAATGCTTCCTAATTTTGCCTTTGGTCAATCTTATGTTGCTCTTTATCAAAGAGAGAGAGATAAATTTTAAATATTAACTGTCATGGATTGGATCATGTCGCCCCAAAAATGTGTGTACCAATTTGCCTGGGCCATGATTCCCAGTATTTTATGATTGTCTACCATTTTATCATCTGATGTGATTTCCCTATGTGTTGCAAATGCTATCACTATGATATAATAAGATGGATTAGCGGCAGTTATACTGATCAGGTCTACAAGACTAGGTAGTATCTTAAGCCAATCTCTTTTGAGATATAAAAGAAGCAAGCAGAGAGACATTGGCACCTCATACCACCAAGAAAGCAGTGCCAGGAGCAGAGCACGTCCTTTTTCCTGAGGTTCCTTCGCTGAGATGCTCCCAGACCAAGGGAAGGCTGATACATCACAGGGACCTTTCTCCAGAGCCGACAGAGAGAGAGAGCCTTCCCCTGGAGCTGGCACGCTGAATTTGGACTTGTAGCCTACTAGGCTGTGAGAGAGTAAATTTGTCTTTGTTAAAGCCATCCACGTGTGGTATTTCTGTTATAGCAGCACTAGATGACTAAGACAGGAACTATGTCATATGGTTCAAAGTAAATTTTTAAAGAATAGTTAAAGCCTCTTTCTACATCTCCTCTTCGTGTTTCCCTTGCCCTACTCCACTCCTATAGTTAATCACTTTTACTATCTTTCCAGTGTTTTTAATGCAAAAAATAGAAATGTATTTATAATATCCCATCCTTTGTGCCCAAAGGGTAGCATACTGTATACATGGTTCTGTAACTTGTTGTTTTCACTTACTATATCCTGGAGATATTCCCATATCTGTAAATAGACTCCTTCCTCATACTTGCTTATGCTCCACAGATTTCCATTGTGGGAAGTACTATAGTGTTTTTAACTAATCTCCTGTAGATGGACATTCAGCAAAACATGAAAAATTTTCATCAATGTGTTTGAGCATAACAGGGCTCCAGGGACCCATGCTATCTATTTTAATCCTCTTCTTTTTCACTCATGACACTCAATAACTCCCACAACGTTACAGCTTTACACTTGACGTCTTTCACAGTCCTGAACACTTTCCATAGCTCTGTAAGTGTTATCTGACTGCCTACTGGACATCTTTTGGATGGGCCACAGCTGTGCTGTCCACTATGATAGCCACTATTACATGTGGCTATTAACATTTACATTAATTAAAATAAAATAAAATTTAGTTCCTCACTCAGACTAGCTACATTTTTGGTGTTCGATAACCATATGTGGCTAGTGTACTGTATTAGACAGTGCAGATAGAGAACATTTTCATCATCCTAGAAAGTTCTATTGGACAGTGCTGGTCCACAGGAATCTGACCATTAGGTGTCCAAAACTTAACTTCTAACCAATCATCTTCCTGTTA